CCTGGGTATGTTTACACCTGACTTATCATGAAACCTGAACATCATCAGATTACCAAAAATGCTTGTTGATACAAGCCTTGCTGCGTGTCACTGGCAACACCTTTTCTCTAGTTTCATGACTTCTGAATTCACATTACACTTTAAGGTGATGTGTTTTCATATATACAGTCATGTGAAGAAGTAATGCACCCCATGAAAACTTTACACTTCTTCAACATATTTGCACATACAGATATCAAGTCTTTGTTTTAACAGTGTTTATAGATAGAAGTGATATAATTTACTTAGAATTAATTAATATTACTTATTAATTTAATTAGATTTTTCATGCTTTATATAATTGAAATAAACAAGAATGCAGTTATTTGTGGAGCACCCATAGACTACATATATCACTACTTCAAACTGTCAAGGTGATCAGGTCAGGTCAGTAATCAGGTGCTAATGATTAGGACACTGTTAGAGAATAACCGGTCTGGATTGTTCTTTATTACTGGAGTGTGTAGTATCAACATCCCTAAATTAAAAGAGCTCTCTGAGGTCTTCAGAAAGAAAGTTGTTACCTATGATCCTGGGAAGGGTTTTCAGAAAATATCTAAAATAAAAAATAAATATATCAAATATATCAATTATTCCACTGTCCGGATAATCATCTACAAGTGAAGAAGATTTAACTTGTCCAGGCCAGTCCGCCCCACAAACGTAACCCAAGAGCAGATCATAAAATGCTAAAAGACGTCTCTAAGAGCCCCAAAATAATACCACAGGATCTGCAGGTAGCTCTTCCCGCTGTTAATGTAAACGTGCATGCATCTACCATTAGAAAAAGACGGTACAAATTTGACCTACATGGAAGGTGTGCCAGGAGGAAGCATTTACTGTCTAAAAGAGGACATTGGGACAAGACTAACGTTTGCTAATGCATTTTTGCCAAGGACCAGGACCTCTGGAGCAATGTGGTATGGACAGATGAGTCAAAGATAGAGTTGTATGGCCAAAGTACCAGAAGGACCATACAAACTGTAAAGCATGATCATGGAAATGTTATGGTTTCGGTCTGCTTTGCTGCCTCAGGGCCTGGCCAACTTGCAAACATACAACTGAACATGAACTCTCTTTCATCCCAGAGAGTCCTTGAGTAAATGAGAACATCTGTAAAAAGTTGAAGCTGAAGAAGTGGACGTATCAACAGGGTAATGACCCTAAACATATGAATAAATCCACCAAAGAATAGCTCAAAAAGCAGAAGAAAAAAATACCATCAGTTAATGTTTTTTTTAAATAATGATTGCAATCAAATTTGTATGGTGGTCTCTGGGTATGTATCTGGATATTCTTTGGCTGGATTTCATTGACACTTTTGAATAAAATACCCCCCCCCAAATTTAATTTCCCACACAAAAAACACATCACCACACATGCTGTTTCCATTTTACTTCCATTTACTTTTTCCCTTGTTACCATAGAAATCAACAGGCTTGGCTTAGATGTTTTCTTCAGCCCAGAGTGCAAGAGGAAAGTTGGTTTTGTGACAAAGTCTCGCATCCTCTATCTTGCATTTTCATGTTTCTGCTTACATAACTGTATGTGGATATAGAAAGGCATTCCGTTAATGTTTGTGTTGAATGTGTTCATGATCCGTCTCTGATCACCCCTGTACGTGGTCCAATCTGACTACCTCTTGAGTGCTCCGATCGTAATCTGATCATGACTTCAGAATTCATTGATTTTTGTTTGGATTAATTGTGTTTGACTGTGTGTTCATATAGGTTGTGGTGTTTCAGGATAATGGCCTTTTAGACTACCATGCAGAATTTACATTTAGATAATGTAAAATATCTCCAGTCCTTTCTTTTTTGCAGTTTGGACTGCAAACAACCCTGCTAGAAAAAAACAGAAAATCAAGAGCAAAACCACCATATGCTGTGTTTTGGTCGCTGGTATGCTGCTTAGAAGCAGCAATGGAATTTTCTTTGTCTCTGTCATTTGAGCACAGCAACTTCCCTTTATGTTGTGTGAATATTTCAAAATGATTGGACCAATAGAATTGTTCCAAAAATTGCTTGGAATAAAATCTCTTTACATTAACTTACATTAAATGATTAAATGTAAAGAAATGTTTTGCCTTCTCTTGTAAAGTTGCCATTTTGGAGATACTAGTTTTTCTTTGGACAGCAACAATATGTTGTGTTTTGGAAGATGGTATGGTGGTCAATCAGCATGGCCATCCTGGGTGACCCCTAAACTAGCACCAGACCACATAGACCAACATAAACCAGCTTATACCAGCATGGAATGCATGCTGGTATGGGCTGTTTTTTTCAGCAGGGAACCAGGCTTGAATATTATGAAACTAGGAAGCAAAAGATTTTTCAGTCGTCAGTGAAAGACCCATGACTTGCATTTAATTCTCAGCATGATCCAGGAGCTTTCTTTTTTTTCTTTGAAAAAGTGCACCATGAATAATCCCTAACAAGGTGTTCCTACGAAGCAGAATGTGCCACATGCATTGTGCAAATGTGTCTCTCATAGACATAATGTAAGAAGTACTGGCCTATTCAGCATAGCTGGTCATTAAATGACCCATTTTTCAGCCCAATAAATCACTAGCAGTTGGCATAGGTGTTCACATCAGAACAGCTTCATAAAGCAAGATCGAATGAGATTTGTCAACATCTTCCATTTTCAGAGGTTCAGTTTCCTTGTAATTTAGATTAACTGCAATTGCTATCATAATCATCTGCCTCCTTGCATACATTGTGCAGATTGACATGATTGATGTCAACTGTGGAGACAATTCAATTCAATGCTTTCCAAATTAGGTGAGGATGATTTATAAATAAGATTACCCTGTAATACAGTTTAACTACATTAACGGGGCCTAAGTGCCTGAACCGTAATTACATCAGATGAAGAGACAAGGACAAGACAACCTTCACCACCTCAGCTCCACACTTGCTTGTTTATTTTCCTGGCGTCTTACTGACCATCTGTCAAAGCAGCTCCTTGAAGCAGCTCCTTGTAGCTCCCCATCAATTCTGGAGCACCCTTAGGAGGAGGGAGGCTGGATGAAAGAAACTTATCTCAAATGAGATCAAAAGACAGCAAATCAATGGCTGATGCCTCTCCTTTAATATGGCAAATGAAAAGCTGACAATTTATAACAGCTTTGGGAACCAGACCAGTGCTGCAGACTGTCCTCCTTTTTGTAGGCTATATTTGTCTCTGCTTGTTATCTCTGCTTGTGAGGCAGGGAGGCATTGTGTATAATAAAATGAACTCAGCATTTGTGTGAAATGCCTTGCACTAGTAACTAATTAAGATATTTTTCAAAGCTGATTATTAACTGCATTCTTTAAACAGCCTAAAAGGCTTTACTGTCAAGCCTGTATATTTGGACTGTTAATACTTATATAGAATTGATTGTGAACGATAATACATATCATTCTAACATCATTAAGGGTGCCTATAGCTTTTTCTATAGGCACCCTTAATGTTGGATTTGCAGTTGCTACTACTGCAGTTGCTACTAAGGCAACTGGGTTATCCTACGCTGGATGCAGTTTCATCCCTGTAGCATCTGTGGTTTGATTTTGTTTTGACAGTGGAAGGTTATCAGTTTGTGTCTTTACTAGGTGATAAGAGGTTCTGTCAGTTTCCACATAGCAGGCACAACCTGCACAGTGCATGAAGGTCAGGCCATTACAAGGAAAATAATGAGGAAGGAAGAAACTGACTTGAGGAAGTGAGTGGAAGTGTCTTGCTTTAAAATAATTTCCCCTGGTAGCACAGGGGTTCTTACAGGCAATGTTTAGCCTGGAGGCTGTAATTGGGCCTTGGGGGTTAGGTATACCCTCCACCACCTAAAATATTACAAATAATTAAAACAAATATTATCATTTATGACAACACGTAAATATGTAACAAAGTAAATAGCTAGTTAGCTATTACATGTGCACTAATTGAACAAAAAAGAGTGGTTCACTACAATACCGTGCACAATTCAGAGACCACTCTTCATTTATTTAATTTGCAGTCGAAATGGCCAGTGACTACACAGTATTCATTTTTCAGATAATATTTCTGAGAGAATTTGGATAAGGAAGAGGAAAATCAAAGGGAAATAGGCAAATAAACAGAAGTTTCCAACAATGGAGTTTAAAAATGTATTAAATGATATAGAGAAAATGGGACTCCTAACAGCCCTGCAAGACGTTCCACTCTTGCTTTAGAGCTAGAAAAATTCACATTTGTTTCTGTCCATCCTTCCACTGTGACAGCTCAACGCTATGAGCCTGAAATGATGTGTAGCTGTCAAGAATCCGTTATTTAGCAACGGAAATAGATAAAAAAAAATGAAGAAACATTGCAAATCAAACAAAGAAGCTGTGGGTGTTCTCAGAACCACGAACTGGCCAAATTGAAGCCTAACATCACTGAATATGTTTGGCATTACTCGGATTGTGAGAAACAACAAATACACTAAAGACTAACACGTTGGAGGTGTGAAAAAATATCCCTTAAGATTTCTTTGAAAAACTGCAAGTCTCCAGAGAAAAATGGAAGCTGTAATAAAGGTAAAGGTAAAGACACACTAAATAGTGAAAAAAAAATGATATTATATTTTTGCTGTTGTGCTGTTGTTGTGCTGTTTGCTGATGTTTTGTGTTTTTTTCCTGATGCTGAAAAGTAAATATACTTATATTTATATTGCAATTTGACTGTATAATAAACAAATGATCTCTAATTTTTGCACAGTACTGTATAAATCAGTTTTAATCCCCAAGGTCCTTTTTGCAGATTGGGACCATTCTGAAGAATGGAAAATGTTGCTGAAATCACAATAAACGTTCTCGTCATATGAATCCAGCAGTAAATGTGGAACTGTAAATCTAGAACAAGGCAACTGAATTGCTCTAGATTTACACCAGCTCAGGTGGGCGGAGCGTGTTTTGGACACGACAGTGTGAATGCGATGTCTCCTCATAACATCACGCGTCTGAGGCTAAATTAACAGCTCTTACGAGTGACAAAAAAGAAGAAAATACTGAAAATGCTGTCTATTTATTGCAGCTAGAAGAGAATTTCAGAAGAGAGTGAATTTTTCCCGATCGTACTTTTCGAGCTGACGTTATAGATTCTACTTTTACCTTTCGGAGCGTCTGCAGTTACCACAAGGAACGATACCGAGCAAAAGAGTATGTTATTGCTGCTATCGCCATCTTCACTGGGTCGTGTTTATTGGTGATGAACGTTAACTTGGCAAGACTGATCTGTTTTTGAGATGCGATTCGGTGGACCATGCATGCATTGAGGGGTGCCCTGCACTTCGCTACAGCCCGCCGTCGAGTCGCTCCACTTTTCTGAGAATAAATGGGCTTCAGGAGGACAAGCACTTAACCTAAATCCAAGCATGAATGTACATGAATTTCTGCAGTTGGCGATTTCATACTTACTTTTGCTCGGCTCTGCAACCCTTGGCCAAGGTAAATTGTCTCCGCGCTTCGTTTTGTAAGATTTCAGTGATTATTCTTTTTTGCATTTCTGCGTTTATTGATTAGCGTATGCAAAATATTCACTTGCAAAACACGCGTGGCGTGCAAGAGTGTCTTCAGAATACATTGTAATGTGGCATGTTATTTTGAACAGTTAATTTACTTTTAATGTGTGAATAGCTGCTTTATAATTACCACTGCATTGATATATTGTAGGTTCAGCATGCAGAGCTGGGTGCAATCTTGAAAATGGGTTTTGTGATAAGTATGGCGAGTGCAGGTATGTTTAGGTATTCAGGCGCCTTATTTTCATCTTCATCTTCTTAAAATGCTCACTCAAAAGATATTCCAAAAGATATTCCACTTTTCTCAGGTGCAGGCCTGGCTGGCAAGGTTTGACATGCGAGCAATGTGTTCCTTTCCCTGGCTGCGTTCATGGAAAATGTGAAAAAGCTTGGCAGTGTATCTGTGAGCAGGGCTGGGTAGGCAGTCAATGTGACCAAGGTGAGACCTACTTACTGAAAATCAGTCTCATGGACATCAGATCCACAGATCTCTCAGCAGTTACGTATACTGAGGCAGTGCTTTGGCGAAGCAATGCAATCACATTTTTATGAGGGAACAGCAAGCATTAGACTGTGCAATGGATAGTAAGCTCTAATACTTATTTTGTTTTTAGACATCCATCTGTGTTCAGCAGAGCCTTGTTCTGGCAATTCAACTTGCATTGAGACAGGAGAAGGAGGATATATCTGCATCTGTCCTACCGGCTACACAGGGAAAAACTGCCAGCTGAAGAAAGGACTATGTCTAACAAATGGGTAAGAGCGGTCTTTCTCAACAATATTTTATAAACAGTGAATAATCATTTTCTTGTGGGACATTTTATCTCCTATAATTGCATTAGTATTCTTAGTGCAGTAATCTAGTCTATTGGTTACTGAAAAGAAGAATTGACATTTTGCACCTCAAATTCATCTGTGTGATTATTATTGATTGCAGTGAGCAGTCTTATTTAACCCTGACACAGAATCCAGCAACACACAAAACAAATTGGTAGAATTAATCAAGCATGTGACTGCTTTGCCCAGAACATGTTCATGAAAGGACCTTCCTAAAATAATACAAGGCTTTAACAACCACTTGTGTTTTCTTTCTTTTTGATAGGTAAAACACAGTATTTACACAAATTTAAATGAACTGTGAATTTTGACCCAAGACTCAAAACCCATTTTTATTATTAAAATAATTATCCAGCTTAATGTGAAATTTGTGCTTTCATGTTTAGCTCCCCATGTCAGAATGGAGGCACCTGTATGGATAATAATGGATCTGACAGCCACTTGTCTTGCCTCTGTCCGCCTGGATTCACTGGAGATTTCTGTGAAATTGATGTTGATAAGTGTGAGCCCAACCCATGTCTAAACGGGGGCACTTGCACAGATCATGGTCTGGCTTACACATGCCTTTGCCCCCCTGCTTTCTCTGGTCCCATCTGCAACACCAACCTGGCTTCATGCTCTGAGGCCACCTGTGGAAAAGGAGGCACTTGTTTAAATGGGACTGATGGTGGAACCTACTGCATTTGCCCACCAGGCCTAACAGGACCTTCATGTGATCTCCACACTCACAAATTGAAACCAAAAGCCAGGCCTAAGCCCCCAGGCCTAGGCCATCCTCCCCTGCACTACGGCCTCCCAGCCAATGCCTTCCACAAGCTTCTGAGGCCCCCCGAGCATGGGCTACTTAAGATCACCTTGAAGGAGACTGTGCATACCTCCAGCCCCCTGGTCACCCACAGCCAGGTCATCTGCTTTGCCGTACTGGGTCTGCTCACTTGCTTGGTGATCCTAGGAACCACGGGCATCATCTTCTTCAATCGCTGTGAGACGTGGCTGGTGAACGCCAAGTATAGCCAGCTGGTCCGGCAGCAGAGGGACTACCTTCTGAAGGCTACAAATGGCGAGGATCACTCCATAAACATCATCCTGCCAGAAAAAATCAAGCTGACCAATTATGGAAAGCATTACACCTCTATATAAGGCAGGGCCACAAAATAGTTGTCCTTGGAGTTTTGTGTGCAAAGGATTTTGTTATGTGGGAGGCTTAAATAAATTGTAGGTGAAAAGGGGAGAGAATGGAAACATTTGTCACACAAACGTTAGAGTTACATGTGACCCCATGGAAAATGAAAGGAACAACATGAAAAAGGAAAAAGTTCTTAAAACAGATTAAGCAAAAGAATGTTTTAGAGTTTGTTACTAGATTTGTTTAAATATACAACATAGGTACATAGAATAATATGTGCTTCAAACTACAACTTAAGAACAAAAAATGTATCCATATTGGTACAAGTAGACTTTGACAAAAAACATCTCAGTGTAGCAGGAGCCACAATAGTGGATACCTTTATTATTGTCATAAAAAGCAGTGTAATAATGAATACGAGAACATGAGAGCTAAAAGCTAAGCTTTTACAAGATGTACTACATACTTATTTGGGGCTTTAAATAGGATATTTTTGGAGTGCCAACCAGAGTAGCAGTCCTAGGAAGTCTCAGAATGAAAGCCTTGCAATAATCAGTTCTGTCCATTTTTAACAGCTCGTTTGGGGCTGCACTTCACAGCATCTCCTTGATGTGAATATTATCTGCTAACATCCAGGGCAAGGCACTGTTGTTAACTGTTTGCTTCCTCCACACCACGTAGCGTAAGTGGGTGTAGGCAAGCAAGGGTTGTCTAGGGAAAGCCAGAGAGAGTTAAATAAATGGAACAGGAATAGGCAAAGCCAAAAAAAGGTGGTTTTGGTCAGGATTTGAATGTTGGCACTGGTTGCATTGTATACTTTGACAGGCTACTTGCTTTGGAGTATCTAGGAAACCACATCTCAGGAACATAATGGAAACAAAAACTGGAGAAGGTTGGTTTTGTAGGAGGTAAATGTGTGCACAAATCTTGACCGCTAAATAAATGTGTTTCAGATCCTACATTTTACAGGTAGTCATGGACAGAGGTCTTCTCCACAGTACTTTGAACAGTCATGCTTCAAAGGCAAAAGTGATATTTTACAACAGTGTAAATAGTCTATTGGTCTATTAAAAAAGAAATTAAAAATCAACTTTTTTGCAGTTGACTTGCTAGATTGTTTTTACTCAGTCCCCTACTGCCAGTGTATTTTACAAACTGTTAATGAAAACATTTACAGCAAATACATCTAAATACGTGACTGAAACGTACAAATAAAATACAACTCACAATAGCTATTGAAATGTTCATCTAAATGGTCAGTTCTTATGCTGTGAATTTAGAAAGTAAATATAATGACCAACAGGCAAGGGCATGTTTTAACATTACTTTAAAATAACATTTTAAACACTTCAAATTCTTTAAAACCATTCTCTTCTTTCGTTTAATTGTATATTGAACTATTTTCAGACCTCTCATGAGCCACAGGATGCTTGGGTATTTTTGATTGTTTTTCTATATATATCATTCTATATGTCACTATAGATGTAGTTTTGTGAATTGTTAGGCTAATCTTTCGATTAAAAAAAGGAAGTTATGATAAAAAACGTGATTATTTAATGATTCATCTTTCCCTCACTCAGCAAAGTAGGATCTGTGGGTCAGCAATATAACATGGGATTCATGTTAAAGTGGAACTGGACTGAATCAATGTATAAATCCAGCTTCATAGTGTGCCTCTCAGGTGTTCTTCTGCCCCTCCAGAGAGCACTAAGAATACAGCAAGTTGCACATGCACATTTCACAAGTCTGTCATATATGGCGTAGATGTAATATATGGTTATATATTGCTTGCGATCACAACACCTCTATTGCCAGCCAAAAATTTATGAAAAAGAGTTTTTCTCAGACTTCACAGCAACATCAAAGGAAAAGCTACAGTGTCCTCTAAAATACAGCAGGTCTCTGATTATTCCTATCCTGTAAGTTTTCATTTCCCCCTAACAAAGGGATTTCGAAAGGTACATACTGCCACCATGTGACTCCATGTATAGCACTGTAAGATGCTTTACCCATTAATCCCTTTTCCTGTTACCTCTTCCAAAAGGCCCTTGATCTTATGTTTAACATTATCTTACAAACTAGCTGCAAGAAACTTGTGAATACTTATTCTGAGTAATAGTGTTGAGGTAAATGTAATGTAAAACAGCAGAACATTTGTGTAGCACCTTTCATGCTACAATATTGAGCTACAACATTAAACTGTAAGTGTTGGCTAAAACATTCCTATCTTGTATGCATTCCTAACCACTTTTGTAGGCTACAAGCCATCATGCAGCCCTTTGTGCTTTTAATGGATTTGGTTAATGCTGAAAGGCATCCTCATTCAGATTTTGTTGCATTCAAAATCCATAACATATGCAAGAAAGGATTCAGCAGTAGGTCTACCTAAGCATTTTAATTCACTGACTTGATTATGCTGTCCTGTCATGTAGTTTGTTCCTTAAAAACACATTTTTATAAAATTGCAGAAAATGTCAGAAATAACTAAGGCTTGTTCCACACGGTCTTTGCTACCACCTTGTGGCAATGTTGCAATGACATGCAAAGCTTGCAGACATGATACTGCATGTCATTGAACTTGTAACTGAATTGTTTCCATTTTATGTCTTCTCAGTGGCTTCTGATTTATCTGTATCCCATTAAATTCTTTCCCTGAACACTGCAGGATTAATGAATTAAATTCATGCACAGAAATCTTGATGCAGGGACCAATTGCAACAATCAGAAAAAAGCACATTTTTTTCAGAATGCTGAGTTTACATTATCTGTAAATAATAAAAAGACTATTATTGGTTAACCTTACAAATATATAAAATAAATTGTCTGTACAGTTACAGTACTGTGCAAAAGTCTTAAGCAGCCAAAAAAACTTGCAAAAACACCATTAAACTATAAATAAATGCAGAAGAACATAAGAATTTTTTGTTTTTAATAAAGCTACAAATATCTATCCACAAAAGGGCTGTGTGGTTCTTCAAATAACTGATCACATGAGCTTCTGATTTGTTATGCAGGTAAGACTGAACACCTCTGAGTTAGAACACAGTTTGGTTCCTGACCTCTTGGTGCACTCCAGCGATTACATGGATTTGTTGCACCACATTCTACCTGGTAGTATTAACATTATACATACATACATCATCTAAACCGCTTATCCTTCTGGGTCGCGGTGGGGTGCTGGAGCCTATCCCAGCTGTCATTGGGCGGAAGGCAGGATACACCCTGGACAGGTCGCCAGTCCATCGCAGGGCAATTAACATTATTACGTGTTAATTGACTAAGTACTGATAGCCAAAGTTGATACTGAATAGTAACTGTAAATACTGGGCTTCCTAAAGAAGAGTTTTATGAAATTATTAGGCTAACACAATGAAGTAAATCACTTTATATTGTTTATTTATATTTAGTCTGATGTTAGTGTATTTTTTCAACAAATAAATGCTTAAAATCAAGATAAGTGACTACATTTCATTACTGTACTGTACTGTGGCTCATTGAATTTACGTTGTTTAGGCCGAGACATGAGTTTGCTTTTTTAGTTTGGCAGTGGAGGTATGAGGCTGAAGTAGCTGAAAAATAATGGAAGTCTAGGCCACCCAAAATCTGGTCTCATAGCCCTGCTGCAAAAGTACAGTACAGTGACACAAATTTTGGTTTTCACTAGGCTTGCTGCTAAAGTTTTTATGGTGGCAGTTTGCATTAACTCTAGATTGTTATGAAGAGTGATCAGATGAATTGCAATTAATTGCAAAGTCATTCATTGCCATGAAAATGAACTTTATTTAAAAAAAAACATTTCCACTACATTTCAGCCCTGCCACAAAATGACCTGCTAACATCATTTCAGTGATCTCCTTGTTAGCTCAGGAGAAAGTGTTAACGAGGTCAGGGCAGCTGATATTACTCTGTCATGCTGATTGAATTAGAAGAGCAGACTGGTAGCTTTAAAAGGGGGGTGGTTTTCTGTTAACCATGGTTAGTCGTTGTTTTGCATCAAAAGGGCTTCACAGGCAAGGACATTGCTGCTTGTAAGATTGCACCTAAATCAACCATTTATCGGATCATAAAGAACTTCAAGGACAGAGGTTCAGTTGCTGTGAAGAAGGATTCAGGGTGCTGTACAACAAGTGCCAGGACTGTCTCCTAAAGTGGATTCAGCTATGGGATCAGGTCACCACCAGTGCAGGGCTTGCTCAGGAATGGCAGCAGGTAGGTGAGTGCATCTGTACGCACAATGGTGTGAAGGCTTTTGGAATATGGCCTGGTGTCAAGAACAGCAGCAAAGAAGCCTCTCCAAGAAAAACGTCAAGGATTGACTGACTTTCTGCAGGCAGTACTGGGGTAAAGTTATTTTCTCTGATTTCCAGCATGATGAACAATGCTTTTTCCAGCATGATGGACCACCATGTCACAAGGCAAAAGTGATAACTAAGTGGCTCGGTGACCAAAACATTGAAATTTTGGGTCCATGGCCAGAAAACTCCCCAGATCTTAATCTTATTTAGAACCTGTTGTCAATCCTTCAAAAGCAGGTGGACAAACAAGCACAGATATTGTGAAACTCTTGAAAAAGAAGGGTCAACACTGTAAATATTGAGTCTTTGCATAAACTTGATGTATTTGTCAATAAGTTATAAAACATGAAGTGCTTAGGATTGTACTTCAGTATACCATAGAAACATCTGACAAAAAGATCTAAAAAGCAGCAAACTTTATGAAAACTAAAATTTGTCAGTCTCAACTTTTGGCCACGACTGTAGATACTAAACATAGCTTGCCCACTTGACTATCTTTAGGGTTACGAGGATTTTTCATTAAGCCATTGCACCAATTCCAACAAATTTTTTTTTCCATATTTTCAACTTTTCTGCACTCCTGAAAATCACTAGTGAACCTACATGTGTCTTCTGAGGTTTATTTGAAATGCTAAAATGAGACATATTTTTGGGGATTTTTTTGCAGCACAATGCCTTGCCTGTTCCTCTCTGACATGAAATTTAAAAATATGTTTTAGTTCAAAACCTTCCGAAAGCTAACATAACAGTGTCTCAAGCATCAGGCAGTGTATACATTTATGATTTCATGTAATAACTTTCTGTAACAGCTTTTAGAAGCATTAGACTAGATTTTTCTAGAATGGAGCATTTCGCATTCAGTCCAGTTTGTTTACATCTTAACCATTTATTTATACAGAACCATTTATTTATTTAGATTTCTGTAAATCAGTGCCTGGCTTGTCACAATGACATTGGCTGTGGCAATCTTAGGAGAGCATGCTGCGCTTACAGTTTTCAGAGCAAGGCTTTTGCTCTCTATGTGCACAAGGGTGTTTTAGGGTTTTATGCAAAGGCCTTGGCCGTTTACTCATGAACAGGGGGTTTATGAATTCCTGACGTTATTCCTGTAGATGGCGGCATTTCATCTTCCACAGAAAATTTCCCACACTGTAGGGTGACAGAGTGGCTGTATAACCTGAGAAGAGCATCAGAACAAATGAATATCACATATCACAAGGGAACAGTTAACACCAAAATGAATGTGGAAACATTAGAATGTACTGTAAGTCAGCTAATAAACTTTTTTCACTGACTGTGGGCACATATGCAAAATTCAAGGGAGTGTCCTGCTAGCCTTTCTCTTCAGGAGTATCATGTTAAGCATTCCAATTAGACCAATGTTTGTTAATACTGCTTCTGGGGACCACTCTCCTGCACAGTTAGAATTATTGCTAGCCCCAGCTCACCTGATCTAGATCATGAAGGGCGTGTTAATCATTGACTGAGCTGCATCAGGTGTGTTGAAGCTGGGAATGAAAATGGTGCAGTACTGTGAAACCCTGAAAGCAGGATTAAGAGCTTATGCAGTTTTCAATTCAGCAATGTTTCATTGCAATTATGCAATGTTTCAATTCAGATGAACACAGTATAGTACAGGTCCTACCTCTGTGAGGTGACCTTGGCAAATGCATAAATCACAAAGAAACAGTGCTGTTGTAATATTAGTATCGGCTTGTCCCAAAGTCCACACTTGCAGTTTGTGGTTTGCTTAAAAGGGAAGTCTACCAATTTTTCTAGTCATTCAGATTGTTCTAATGTGAAATGATTCATTGAAGAGAACCTTACTGAGTCAGATTTCTTCACAGTGGGGGTGATAGGAACAAGGGCTCATGATGTCTCCAACACAAATAAAGTGATTTTATTTCCTATCCAAAGCCACCATTGAACCTACAGATGTCCTCTGAGTTTTACATGTAATTTTGATAATGGTAAAATAGTGGTTCTAAATCAGAAAATATAAGTTTGTGTTTCAGGCATCAGGCAACAAGTTTGTATAGTAAGGGCAAGAGAAGCACATAGAGGCAGATCAAGAGGCAGTAGCAGGAAAAAATGGCAGAATGTTTGCCCTGACATCCAGGCCATTATCATAGACCATGTTGTTAACCATGGCCTATGTATGGCTGAGGCAGGTCAAAGGGTGCAACCTCAGCCCAGCCGGTCTTGTCACATCAATAATACGAATGTTCAGGTGTGTGAGTACCGCACATACTACAAAGTATCCATGTAAACTTATAATATGAACTCTTAGACTGTGTTGTACAGACTCAATATATATATTTTTCACTATATATATATATATATATATATATGTTCCACTGCCCTATTTCGGTGACCAGAGCCCAGTATTCGCACCAGAACAGGAAACTGAAATAATCAACATGGTAAAAGCAAACAATGTCATTGCACTTCGAGTGATTCAGAGAGCTGTATTGCAAGATGACATCATCTTCCATAACATCACCTCTGTGAGCATCTCTACCATAGACAGTGTTCTCAAGAGGCATGTAATATCAATAAAACAACTGTACAGAGTTTCTTTTGAGAGGAATAATGAAAGAATAAAGGAACTGAGATATTTGTATGTACAGGTAAGACCTTAGCTTCTTACACAGATAAGGGTTTACCTCATATATGTCTGGGTATACTTTGAGACCAGATAACAACATGTGAAATATAAGTGTACTGCCATTGTATTGATGTTGAGTTAAATGATCCTATACAATTTGGTTTGATGTACATTAGTTTTGTGGTTTGC